AAAATTATAGATAAGGGCCAAAAAAAATTAAGAAAATTTTATTGATTCTTCTTTATAATTTTTGAAATTATTTTCTTATCAATCAATAGTCAAAATTAAATTATATTAACAGTGAGATCAAATTGTATCATTTTCAAAAATTAAAGAGAAATTACATTAAAAATAAATTTAGAATCTTAAACACTTACCTTTTATTAAACATAATTAGTTCACTGCTTTCTATCTTAATTTTAAGATAAATTTAATGAACTTTGTGATTATTAAAAAAATGGAGTTATTTCTTTACAGTTGTTAAAAAAATATATAACTTCTCAATTTTACTCTTTTTTACTATCAATACCATAATAAATTACTATTTAGGAACTAAAGTTCTCACAAATAATTTGTTACAATTATCAACATAAAAACTAAGCTAGTAAGCCAATAAAAACCATAAGTTTTTTTTGGCCAAAATATAAAACCGTAAGTTATTGTAAACATAATTAAACTCTAAATAAATAAACAAGAGATAAAATTGAAAAAAAAAAAATAACTGCTTCAATTTTGCCCTAGACTCCATCTAGCCTTTAATATAAATAGTACTTACATCTTTAAAATTGTAAAAAAAATATAAATTTTCAATTTCATTTTATTTTAATTAATAATCATAATAAATTATTTTCTAGAAATTCAAACAATAATAAATTAACAAAAGATAAAATATCAATAATTAAAATTTTAAAATTTATCTTATATTCTTTCAGTCCTCTTTATAAGTCATTTATATCAACTTCATCAATACCAATATAAAAAGATACGAAGAATAAAAGTGTATAAAATTTTAAATATGCTCTGATAAATTAAAAAAGTAATATCATTAATTTTTTCTCTTTCATGATGGATAATTTTAAAAATATTTTTAAATACTATCTAAAAAGCTATATCATGATTTATAAATAAAATTAAGTGAATTTTTTAAAATGTGATTTATAAATAAAATTTAAGAGAATATTAAATATGAAAAAAATATTAAGGATGATAAAACTTTTAAAAGTTTTTCTTATATAATTAGCACACGAGAGAAGAGAGTAGATATTCCATGTTTATTAAAACAAAATCTGAAGACAGCCAATATTGTAAGATGAAATTTGGTTATTGATAAAAAAATATATAGTTTTATGAGTGTAGAGATATTAAGTTTCCTGAAAATAGAAAAGGAGAAAAAAGGCTTGTGGGGGGACAAGGCACGGCGTTTCAGCTAGCCACAGTCCTTTATCAATCTTTATTAGAAGTGAATGCAAAAAGATTCTTGAAAATGACCCTTCTTTGTTTCTTCACTGTCACGTTTCGCTCCTTGCACTTTCGTTTTCTTTTTCTTTTTCTTTTTCTTTTTGAATAAAATTAGAGCCCTTCATTCATGAAAGAATGTGCCCGAGAAAGAAGCCTATATACAAACGAAACGTAAAGTGAAAAACAACAAACCAAATCAAATTATTATTTTACTTGAATGATCACAAAAATTTAAATAAAATTTTATCTTTTATTTTTTTTAGTATCATCCTTGTAAATATTTTTAAATAAGAATTTTTGAGTCTCTTTTTTTAAAATTGAGACTAAGATCCAATGTAAAAATATGAAAAAATTAATCTTTTAATCCTCTAACTATTAATTCACTTGTAATTTAATCCCTCAATTATAACTCATTGTGACTCAGTCCTTCAACTATGATTCAGTCCTTCAACTTTTGAATCACTTACAAATTAGTCCCTGAACTTTTGTTAATTTTTTTTCATATTAGCTTATATCTCACATCAATGAGTAAGAAGAGGGTATTTTAGAATAATATATGAGCATTTTTTATCCCTCTTATTTGATAAGAATTTTTTTTAAAAGAATAAAAAATAAAGACCAAATTATAAGTGAATCAAAAGTTGAGGAACTGAGTCGCAGCGAATTATAGTTGAGAAGCTGAGTCGCAGCGAGTTATAGTTGAGGGACTGAGTTACAAGTGAGTTAAAAGTTGAACGATTAAAAGATTAATTTTTTCTAAAAATATTGAATAAGTTGATGCATTGTGAGTTTTGTAAACCTGAAAATAAATGACCTTTGATTAAAATTGATGGGAAAGTATTAGATGATTTGTTTTTTTATACTTGATAACTTTCTTTACACCAACAAATGGTAAAGGATACTTAGTGATCTTTTAAAAAATAATTTATGATTAAATTTATATCTTTAGCTTAAAAAAATACTCCCTTAAATTTCATTTATAAGGCACATTTGATTTTATTTATAAGTTATAGTATAATTTTTTTGGTAATATTAAAAAGATATTTTTAGAATTATCTTTCATGAGAGATAAAAAGTGACATAAGATCACTTTCTAAATTTGTTATATACAAGTATATTTAAACTTTTACATACTTTTATTTCTTGCTTTTTTTATATTAGTATTAATAAAATTTATAAAAATGATTTATAAAGAAAATTAAAATAGTCGTTATTTGCTGAGTGCTGTGTCATGTTTTTTGGTTAAAATTTTATCAGCCTCACATAAAAAGTTAAAGTCCCTAGAGTAAAAATTCACAACATCTTTTGCAACACCTCTCATTAAGGTGCTGCATGCTTTATTTTGTAAAAGTTAAAAAGTGTATTTCACAACATCTTATATTATAAGTTATTTAATATTTCTGAAAAAATAATTAATGGCGAAATTCGCACTTGATCTTTTTAAAAAGGCAAAAGTCAGGACCCAGGACCGAAAGGACGGACAGCAGATGCTTTATGGGACAGGACACGACGCTACAGGCTCAGGGCTAGACCTTGTCCCTTCTAACATGCTTTCTTTGAATTCGAAAGTTAATGCAAAAGGAGCCTTCGTTACTTTTTTTCCCCACCCCCCCCCTTAAAAAAGGATTCAATTCATTAAAATAAAATAAAATATATAATAATCTTATGCAAATAAGTTTGTGTGTGTTTGGATAGGGGAAAAAATTCCCTCCAAAATCGATTTCTTCAGTCAATTAGCCAAACGGTCAGAAAAGGTGAAAATTGATTTTGACCCCCATACGCGCGTTTTCCCGTAAACTACTTCGATCAGCTTTTTGATAAACGTTTGTAAAAAATGTTGGGGAAAATTACAAAAACAGGCCCAGGAAAAAATTACAAAGAAAACACATAATTTAATAAAAATAAAATTAAACTCTCTTCTTTTTCCTTAATAAAATTTAAACTTTGTATATTTAAAAAATTAATATTTGATATTTAAAAATTAAATTATATAGTAATTTATATAGGTAAAAATTAATTTTGATTAAATTATCCAAATATCTTTAATTCTATTAAAATCAATTTTAGAAAAATAGTATCCAAATAGATTGCGTTATAACATAATCAATTATGATTAAAATTTACCACTTAGTCAATTATTTTCATAATCTATTATACCCAACTGAAATCTAAACGGACCCTTTAAATGGGGGTTTTGAATTCGAAAGGATATCACCCAACAAAAATAGAAAATAAGATTAAAAAAAGTGCTGAAAGAAACTACTCTGTTTAAAAATATAAAATATTTTTTAAGAATTAAATATTTAAAAATATAAATATTTTAAATATTTTAAAATATAATCATTGTATTTTTTTAAAAGTATACATATTGATGAATGACTTTATATTTATTATAGAGTATTTAATAAGGGTAAATATAGAAAGATAGAATTAGTTTAAAAGTAAATAATTATTTTATTAAGAAGGGTGAGATTTGATTAAAAATATCTTACATTTTTTAACAAAAGGAATATTTATACCTCTTAATTATTGTGGTGCAATTTTTTTTAATCGTTTGAAAATAGTGAAATTTTTACTATTAGTTCACTTAGAAATTATAAAAATTGATTCATAAAATTACACACAAATATATATAAAAATTAGTATCAATTAAATCTCATAAATTACATATAAATTATAGAATATAAATGTTATTTCTTGCTCATGTAAAATTTTAAAATATAATTTTGATCCACCATTATTTTAGAGACTTAATTAATATTAATTTTTTATAAAATTTTTATTTACAAATTCATGGGTCTTTTTTTATAATTTTTATATTTTTTTGTAAATTTTGTAATTAACTAATGACCTAAGTTAACGCTTTTTAGTGAAGGAAAAAATTGCACTACTTACAAATTTAAAATACTGAACATTTCTAGTTACATAATTGAGGGGTAAAAAAAGTGCTTTAATCCGTAGCAAAACAAACTAAGCAAACAATTGAACAACCCATTTTACAAATAATTTCTCATGAATTTATTGGTGCTTTGATTTTTTTTTCAATGAGTTATGATAGAATATGTCTAAATTATCTCACCAAATGGGCAGAATGGCTAATCCAATGCTAAAAATATTCACGGTTTTCAATATTTTATCAATGGCTTCTCTTGCGTTGCCAAGCATGAGCGATTTTCTTGAAAAATTGATAGGTCTTTTTGGAATAATTACTAATCAAAAATATCTTTTAATAACAAAAATACTAATCACTTTTGTAATGGCAATTGGAATGATATTGATTCCTATTTATTTATTATCTATGTTATGCCAAATAGGGGTGAGCAAAACCGAACCGAAACCGAATTGAACCAAATTGCGTTTGATCTGTTCGGTTCGGTTTATTCGGTTTAAAAGGTCGGTTCAGTTTTTTTAAAAAAAATATTATGGTTTGAATGGTTCGGTTTGGTTTGAAGATTGTGAAACTGAATAAACCGAAGTAACCGAAATTAATTAGATACATGTATAAATATTATAATTGATTTATATTATTAAAGATTATATCTTTTAAAATACTAATATCATATATTTATTGAAAGAGGGTAGGGAAAAAATGTAGCCTAGTTGACAGCCCAGTCCATTATCAGTCTCTGCCACGGACCCACAGTGCCATTATTTTTTTTAGCAAAAGCTACAGTGATCAGACATTATAAAATTACTAAATCCACACAAAGACTCAGATTCAGTCTCGGCCCATGATCAGTCTCAGCCCAGTCCTCGTCAGTCATCACTTCTCGCTCTCGGCTCTCGCTCGATTGCTCCCAGAGTCTGGAGACTCAGATCAGACATCAGAGTCACTTAGGTTCAGCTTCTATCTCCCACTCGGCCACTCCATAATCCACACAAAGTCGTGATTCACGACTCACGAACCCTAACAAATAGAAATCTCTGCGAGATTGTGACTCTGTATCTGAGTATCTCTATCTCGCATTCACGATTCACGATCCTTTGCAGACTCTGTATCTGAGTATCTCTATCTCGCATTCACGATTCACGATCCTTTGCAGACTCTGTATCTGAGTATCTCTCTCTCGGTCTCGGCTTTGTATCTGAGTATCTGTGAGACCGTGACTCTATATCTGAGTATCTCTCTCGGTCTTGGCTTTGAGTCTTTTTTCTCTTTCAGCCCCACTCCACGAAGCACGAACCATAGATCGCCTCAGGCTTCGTCTCCCTCAACTCTATCATTCTCTCGATCTCGGCTCAGATCAGCGTTAATTTCCCTTTGCCTCAGATCAGCGTTCATCTCCTTTCATTTTCTCAAGTCCAGTTTGTCTAAGCTCAGGCTTCATCTCCCTTCTCAGATAAGGGCAACTCATAGATGCAAGGTATGGTTCCAGCTAGCAACTTTCTTCATCTCATGCTGATCTCTTCTTCCTTCTCTAAAATGTCTCTATTTTTAAACTTTTGATAAGTGTGTCTCAAGCTTTGTTTTGTTGAATGGTTCAGATGTCTGCCTCCCGTGAAGGTGAAGGACAAACAATCACTCCAAATAGCCAAACACCAACTCCATCTTCAACATCTAATACTAAAGTGAGTTGAAGAAAAAGGAAGGCCATACAGCCAAGGTTTGAAGTTTGGGAGCATTTTCACAAATATGTTAATGAGCATGGAGAAACCAAAGGTAAGTGCAATTATTGTGAAAGGGAGTTTTTCTGTGATCCAAAAAGGAATGGGACTACTGTACTTAAAAATCATATGGGTGTGTGTAAGAAACGGCCTCCTCCTAAAGAAAGCATACAAACCCACTTAAATTTTGGTATAGATGATAATGCTTCTATTCTTGCTAACTAGAAATTTGATCAAGAAGCAATTAGGAAATCTTTGGCAAACATGGTTATAACTGATGAACTTCCTTTCAAATTTATTGATGGGTTTGGGTTTAAATGCTTTATGGTTGCTGCTCAACCAAGATTTAAGGTTCCTTCTAGATGGACAATGGCTCGTGATTGTTTTAAAATTTACATGGATGAAAAAATTAGATTCAAAGACCACTTGATTATAAACAAACAAAGGGGTTGTCTAACAACTGACACTTGGACTTCTATTCAAAGAATCAATTACATGTATATTACTGCTCATTTTATTGATGCTGACTGGAATTTGACTAAGAGGATTTTGAATTTTGTTCCAATATCTAGTCACAAGGGGAGGGATATTGGAATAGAAATTGAGAAGTGTTTGCTTGAATGGGGAATTGATAGAGTGTTTACTATTATAGTAGACAATGCTGCTTCTAATGATGTTGCTTTATTGTACTTGAAAGAAAAAATTTCTAATTGGGGCTTTTCTATCATGCAGTGTCAGTTTCTACACATAAGATGTGTTGCTTACATTGTAAATTTGATTGTTGTTGATGGGTTGAGATTAATAGGGAGTTCTATGAAGAGACTTAGGGAGGTTATTCAGTCTGTTAGGCAATCTGCCTTTAGGATGACAAAGTTTAAAGAGAGTTGTGAGGATGAGAAGATTCAAAGTAAGAGCCTTTTAACTCCAGATGTCTTTACTAGGTGGAACTCCACTTATTTAATGTTGGAGAGTGCTCAAAAATTTGAGGCAGCTTTTAAGAGGTTTGAGGACAAAGACCCTTACTTTCGCATTGATCTTGAACAAGGGGAGGGGGTGCCTGATGCTGCTGATTGGAGGAATGTTAGAAGGATGGTGATGTTTTTGAGTCATTTTTATGAGATGACCTTGCGTGTGTCTGGTGCTTTTTATGTTACATCCAATAGCTTGTTTTATGAGATTTACATGATATATCGCCTTTTGGATGGATGGACAAAGTGTGATGATTTTGAGCTATCATCAATGGCTTTTAAAATGAAAGAAAAATATGACAAGTATTGGGGAGATCCTTTAAAGATGAACCAACTCATTTATATTGCTGCTGTTCTAGATCCTCGATATAAGTTGGAATGGGTTCAATTTGCTCTTTGTAAAATGTTTAATGATGAAGGTGAAAATTTGGCAAAGCAAGTGAAGGATGTTTTCATTGCTTTATATCATGAATACAAAGAACATGTCTCTCCATTTAAGCAATCTGAAAAGGAGCAGCTTGTGGATGAAATCCAATTTGATTTTGGTAATGAGGATGACCCTGCTATGAAGGTTAGAAAGTTGCTTGAATCAGAAAAGAGAAAATCTTTAAGTGACCGCCTTGGTGGAAAAAGTAATAGGATTGAAGTTGATAAATATTTGAATGAGAAAATTGAAATAGATAGACCTAACTTTGATATCTTGGGCTGGTGGAAATTGAATGGTCCTAGATTTCCCATTCTTTTAAGGTTGGCAAGTGATGTTTTGACAATACCAATATCCACAGTTGCTTCAGAATCTACGTTTAACACTGGAGGACATGTTTTGGATGCATTTAGGAGTTCTTTAACTCCTAAAGTTGTGCAAGCCCTTATTTGTGTTGAAGATTGGCTTCGTTACTCCATTCCTGTGGTTGTGGAAGAGAAATTAGATGAAATTGAAATGATTGAAAGAGGTAAAAATTTTATAATGTTATGTATATGCAATGTGACCTTTAAAATTCATTTGTTTATGATTTAATTTAACTCCTAAATTGATTTATTGATAGATTTCTAAAGAATTAGATTAGAATCAGCAATGGATATAGTTTGAACTCTTTAAGGTAACTCTTCATTATTGCTGTCCATAGAAATTGGTTCATGTAGTTGTGATGTTTGTTTTATTGTTGCTTTTTGTAGTTTTCTAACTTCTGGTGCCTGGTGGACTGTTGGTTCTGTTGCTGTCTTCTTCTAGTCTTTTTGGTGGTTAGTTTTGTAATAAGCTTGTTTATTTTTTTAATTTTGTAATATTTTGGCCAGGTGTTTAACTATTTTCCTTTATAATGTAGGTTGGAGCAAAGATTTTGTGTTATTGACAGCTGACAACTTGTGATGAGCTAATGGATTAGTTATTTTAGATTATATTAAAACTCTTGAACTTATTTGCAATTTTTTAAGGGATTATTGTTGTTATTTGGTGGATTATTTTGGATTGTTAAGAATTTATATTAGATAAATTATCAATTTATAAATTATGTGTCTTTTGCTATGCTTCTTCAACTTATAGGTGTAGATCTGAATGACTGAATTTGATTATTTTATTTTTTGACATTTCCAGATTTTACAGCCTCATAAGGTCTATTTAAAAATCCCTTAATTCCCCCTTTTAGGATTTAGTGTTTTAAATTATTTGTTAATCAATATTTTTTTTGGATAAGCCCAAAATACTACCAAAAAAGGTCCAAAATGCTTCGAAAAATAGGCCCAAAATGCTGCCAAAATCAGGCCCAAAGTGTTGTAAATAAGGCCCAGTAACCGAAATACAAAAGCCGAACCGAACCACTAAACTTCGGTTCGGTTTTACTTCGGTTTTTATAAACTTTCGATTTGGTTCGGTTGAATAAATTGATGAATTTCGGTTCTTTCAGTTCACTTAAATCAGAATCGAACTGAACCGTTGGAACCGATGCTCACTCCTAATGCCAAATGTTCTATGATACAAGTTTTTTAATAAACCAAACTCTTTATTTCTTAATTCTAGACCCCAAGAGTTATTTATTTAAATTTCTAACCCTCTTTACTTCTCTAGTGGCAACACACCTGCCCGACTGTTCGTCGTTGTAATCCTCCTCCTCTCATTACCTTCATCAGATGTTCAATCTTTGGACAGAGCCCTTCTTCTTCCACTTAATCTATGGGACAAGTTTGGATATGTGTGGTTGTGTTGGTTAATCATGAGTTCACGAGTGATTTTTTTCCTGTCAATTCATATATAATTTGATACATCACCTTGAATTTACTTTTATCTAGACATGATTGCACGTTTCAGGTAACTTTAAAAAAATGTTTCTATAAAATTGAGACATCCACTTATCTATATTACACTGTTTACCCCACTTATATTATTGTACAATAATCACATGTTTGTGTTGGATATTTTGAAGTCGTGTTGATTATTTTTACCCGAATTTAAGAGAAAATATAACTTATAATTCTTAAACTTTTACTCAATTATTAAGTTAATTCCTAAATTTTAACTCAAAATAACTTAATTTTTATGGTTTATTAACTTAGAACGACAAGGTCATTGTAGTTTCTTAATTTGGTATAACTCAATCTGTATAATTTCTTAAACTATCACAAAGATTAAGTTGTAATAAATCAAAATTTAAAAAATAAATTGATAATTAAGGGAAAATTTTGGAATTAAAAGTCATATTATTTTTTTAAATTTAATTATAAAAAATTTTATACTCGGATGATTATGATTCCATGCATTACTGAAATTTCTTATAAAAAAAATTAAATGCACAACACTGATTGTTAATAAAAGTTCTTTGCATTAGGGAACAGAAATGTCTTTTTTTGTCTAATTTTTTTCTTTTTTTTCTATTTTCTTCTCATCATACATGACATGGGTTCTCGTTTAAAAAAAAAAAATGATTGCAGATTCAATTTTCTAACTCTTATGTATGTAATTAACTTAATTATAAGAAGCACGCCCTTTGGCCTCTATAAAATCTAAGATTTTACTCAAGGGAGAAATGTGCTGAAAGATCTAAACCAATTGTTATTAGTACTAGATAGCTTGTTGTTCTTCGCTTTCTAGCTAATTTGTAAAAACACACACCTACATATTTGTGTGTGTTAAGTTTGTTATTGATCATATTTATAAGATAAAGAGATGTGTTTATTTTAATTATATTTATAGGACACTTTAATTATTATTGCATCTATCTTTATCCTTTTATTTCTTTTAAATATTGCAAAAATTATTAAATGCTAGGGTGTTTTATTTTTAAAGTATCCATATTTAATATGAGTAAAATTTAAAACTTGTTAATAATTTTTAGACATAGTTAATGAATGTTAATGTTTTTTTATTTTAGTGAAAATATTAAAAGTGATTTATAAAAAAAAAATAAAGGGCGTATAAAAACACGGATAAAAAAAAATCCTCTCTCACCATACAATCATATCGAATGAAATCGTAACTGAGATTTGCCAGATAGATTGCTCAATTGCAATTGAAAAATGAGGTACTCGCTTAATTTTTCAACATTAGAGAAAGTGTTTCATTATATTTGTTTTTATAAAATAAAATTACACATTTCAATAAATATTTATTACAAGTTTTCTAAACTACCCCTAATAAAATTATATTTTGAGCCAAATATTTTTTAAAAATATCTTATAATTTAAAATGAAAAGAGTATTTTATACATTATAACTTGGGCTAAATAGAATATTTATGTTTGTATTTTATATACATTTTGGTAATACAACTAAAAGTATACTGCTTTCTATCTTAATTATAAAATAAAGTTAATCAACTGATTATTAAAAAAATTGGAGTTATATCTTTAAACTTGTTAAACAAATGTATGACATTCCAATTTTACTCTTCTTTACAATCAATATCATAATAAATTACTATTTAGAAATTAAAGGGACTCACAAATAATTTGTTGCAAGTATCAATAAAAACACTAGTTATCATAAATATAATTAGACCCTCAATAAAAAAATAAGAGATAAAATTGGGAGGGAAAAAAATAACTACTCCAGTTTTGCCCTATACTCCATCTGGTCTTTAATATAAAGGTAAACGTAACTATCTCCACATTTATAATCTTTTCAGTTCAAAAATATATTCAGTTTAAAATATAAATAGATTTTAATAAAAATCTGCATATTCATAAAGTTTTATTCTCAAAAATATATACTCCATCTATTCAAAAATATAAGATATTTTTTGAGGAGTTAAATATTAAAAAATGCAATGTATTTTTAGTTTTTTTAAAGTGTAATCATTATTTTTTTAAAGTATCCCTATATTTTATATTTATTTTAGAGTGTTTAATGAGGGTAAATATGAAAAGATAGGATTAATTTAAAAATAAGTAATAACTACTTTATTAAAGGATAAAATTTGATTAAAAATACTTTACATTTTTTAACGGATGAAGTAATATTGTATTTTTATTCTTAATCTGAGTTATCAATATATTTCTAACTTTATACAAGAATTTAGGTTAATAAATATAAGGAATAAAATGAGAAAATAATTTTATATGTACTAAGTTATTTATATTTTAAACTAAAATTAGCTAATGAAAAATGCTCATATTTTCTAACAAAAAACTTTTATTGGTCTTTTTGTAATTTTTAAGGTTTTATTTTTTAGTGAACTAATAATAAATATTAATTTTAATTAATATTAGGGTTTAGGGTTAAATTGCACCATTTTAACAGTTGAGAAATTAATTAGCTATTTTACTCAAAGGATAACCATAATTTAAAACAAGACACCCCCCTCCAAAAAGTTACCTGTTTTAGAAGCCATAAAATTAGGACAGAAGGACGTGTTATTTAAAAGAAAAGTAATTAATGTAATCCTTTATTTTTTCCTATAAAAGAAAAGTAACTAATTTTATTATTTTATTTAAAAGTTGAAGGATAATAGAAAAGTAATTATAGTTACTCAAATTAAGTTGAATTAATGTTTCTATTTTTTTCTCAAAAGAAAAGAGGCTAATTTTTTCTTTCTTATTTGAAAGTATGCTTATGAAGGATAATCTGCAATGAAAAAATAACTTTAATTCTTTCAGTCTCATTTATAAGATATATTTTAAAAAATTTATTTAATTTTATTTATAAATTACAATGCATCTTTTTAAGTAATTTTTAAAAAATATTTTTAAAATTATTTTTATGAGAGAGAAAAATAATATAATATTATTTTTTAAATTTATTATGTAAAAATATATTTAAAATTTTATCGCTTTTAGTTTTTATATTTTTTATATTAATATTGATAAAATTTATGGATATAATTTATAAGAGAACTAAAAGGATATACTTTATGTCATCTCACTTTACAGCGTATCAGGCACCAAAACCACCCTTACCTAGGGGTGAGCATCGGTCGGTTCGATTCGGTTCGGTCTCAAAATATGCAGAACCGATTGATCGAATAACACTGAAAATGAAAACTGAATCGAACCGAATAAGCCAATCGAACCGAACAAGAACCGAACCGAAATTTAATAATTCGGTTCGGTCGGTTAATTCGGTTTTTCGGTTTGGGCCTATTTTTTAAATATTAAAACAAACAACACTATAAAATTGGGCCTTTTTTTCTATTCATTTCTTTAATATGAGCCCATTCTAATTATACCCATATGACATAAAGTCCAAATATTATAAAGGCATGGATAATCAAATAAACAACCATAAATAAACACCGATGATCAAATAATAGCCTCATAATCCAGTCACAATACCTACTGATGAGAGTGAGTGATTGAAATGGGGTTTCAAGTGATGTTATTATTTTTTATTCTTTATTAAAATAAAAAATAAAAATAAAAATAAAATAATTTATAAATTAAATATATTTTATAAATTAATAAATTATATATAATTCAGTCGGTTCGGTCTATTCGATTTTAAATTTTACTAACCGAATCGAACCGATCAATTAAAATATTTAAAATAAAAAAATTGAATCGAACCGAAAAATCAAATAGACCAAATCAAATAGACAAAATTCAATTCGATTTTCGGTTTCGATTTTGCTCACCCCTACCCTTACCGAGGAGGGTGCTCAGTTAACTTTCTAGATTATATGGAACTAAAAAATAAAATGAAATTGGAACTGAAATTTTTTTTTTAAAAAAAAAAAAGTGTTCCAACTGCCTCTTGTCCTGTTTTTGGGTGCAATGCATACTGCACATGTTTCAGGGTTTGGACCCCCCAAGACTGAAATCCTTCGCAGATAGCAATCTCGTCGCAGTCACTTCTTTGAGTGACTTTCATTAATGACGGAATCAGATTGCATTCTTTTTAAAAAAATTAAAAAATAAATTCAAAATCTTAGACGCTTAATTTTTATTAAGCGTAATTAGTATACTGCTTTTTTTCTTAATTATAAGATAAATTTAATGAACATTGTGATCATTAAAACATTGGAGTTATATCTTTACAGTTGTTAAAAATATATATAATTTCCCAATTTTACTCTTTTTTACTATCAATATCATAACAAATTACTATTTAGGAACTAAAGTTCTCATAAATAATTTGTTACAATTATCAATAAAAACACTCAGTTAGTAAGGCAATAAAAACCATCAAAATATAAAAACCATAGGTTATTGTAAACATAATTAGACTCTAAATAAATAAACAATAGATAAAATTGAAAAAAAAAATAACTACTTCAATTTTGCCCTAGACTCCATCTTGTCTTTAATATAAATAGTATTTACATTCTTAAAATTGTAAAAAAATCACTTTTTAATTTTACTTTATTTTGAATTAATAAGTATAACAAATTGTTGTTGAGAAATTCAAACAATAATAAATTAACAAGAGGGGAAAATATTAATGATCAAAATTTTTAAATTTGTATTGTATTAAATATCAGAAAAATATCAAGGATAATAAAATTTTTTCTTATATAATTAGCACATGAGAGAAGAGAGTAGATATTCCATGTTTATTAAAACAAAATCTGAAGACAGCCAATATTGTAAGATGAAATTTGGTTATTGATATAAAAATATAGTTCTGTGAGTGCAGAGGTGTTAAGTTTCCTAAAGATGGGAAAGGGAAAAAGAGGTTTGTGGGGAACAAGGGACACTGTTACAGCTAGCCGCTGTCCTCTATCTTTATCAAAAGTGAATGCAAAAAAGGAGGCATGAGCAATTTTGTTGTTGAATTGATAATTTTTTGGAATAATTGCTTTTTTGGAATAATTGCAAGTTAAAAATAATTTTATCTTCATTGTAAAGAATGAAGGAGACCTTGATTGTGTATTATACACCAATTATGATTTTATTAAGGGTAAAATTAAAATAATTATTGTAATTTATATGATTTTAATTAAATAATAATCTTTTATTGATATGTAAGATCTAACTGAAAATTTCTTATATTATATATAGGAAGGCAAAGAGTATTATTTTGCATTAGTTTCATCAATGACACGTATAGAGCCAGTAATTCAGGTAAAGTAGATTTATTTGGATCCAGATTAAAATATTATATTCCTATTTTTTTAAAAAAACTTATATAATTAAACTCGACTCTAATATTTTTTAATCGAGTTCGAACAGACTCGTCGGACTCGATCAAAATTATGACTCAAAAGCAAATGCAAAAGGACTCTTGAAAATGACCATTCTTTATTTTTTAACTTTCACATTTCACCCCTTGCACTTTCTTTTTCTTTTTTCCTTTTGAATAAAACTGGAGCCCTTCATTCATGAAAGAATGTGCACAAAAAAGAAGCCTATATACGAACGAAAGCTTAAGGGAAGAACGACAAACCGAAAGCAGAAACCAACCCCAATCAAAATTTCATTCGGATCGCAATTCAAATGATTACTTTGCTTAAATTGTCATACAGATTTAAATAAAATCTTATTTTCTTTATCTTCTTCTATTTCTTTAATATCATTCTTATAAATATCTTTAAATAAAAATTTTTTGGGTCTCTTTTTTTGAGCTAAGACTAAAAAAAATAAGAAGATTAAAAATATTAACACGTTATGAGTTTCACAAATTTAAAAATAAATAACATTTAATCAAAATTAAAGAAAAAATATTGAATGGTCTGCCTTTTATAGTTGATAATTTTTTTTTACCATCTGACATTAAAAGCTGTCTAGTACTCTTTAAAAAATAATTTATTGCTAAATTTATATTTTTACCCTAAAAAAATAGTTATTTGCTAAGGTGGCATGATATGTGTCATTTTTTAGTTAAAATTTTGTGAGCCCCATATGAAAAGCTAAAGTCAATCAAGTAAAAATTAATTATGAATGTTGGATGCTTTATTTTTAAAAATTAAAAATTTATTTCACACCACCTACTATTAAGTTAGTTAGTGTTTCTAAGAAAATAATTGATGGAAAAATTTATACTTTATCTTTTTTTAAAAAGCATACTTAGTATGTTTCTTTCTGTCTTAATTTCAAGACAAATTTAATGAACTTCGTGATTATTAAAAAAATTGGAGCTATATCTTCACAATTGTTAAACAAATATTCCCTCCATTTAAAAATAAAAAATATTTTTTAAAAAGTTAAATGTTCAGCATGTTTAACCTTTTGAGGTGGAATTATTGCCTTTTTTCAAAAGTGTTGCTATTGATAATAACTTTAGATTTATTGTAGGGTGTTTAACAGGAGTACATATGAAAAGATAAAGTTAATTTAAAAATAAGTAATTACTTTATTGGGGGTAAAATTCAATTACAAATGCTTTATTATTTTTAACGGAGGGAGTATATAACTTCCCAATTTTACTCTTTTTTACTATAAGTATCATAATAAATTACTATGTAGGAACTAAAGTTCTCACAAATAATTCGTTACAATTATCAATAAAAACACTAAGTTAGTAAGACAATAGAAACCATGAGTTTTTTTTTTTTTGCCAAAATATAAAAACCATAAGTTATTGTAAACAAATTAGACTCTAAATAAATAAATAACAGATAAAATTGAAAAAAAAAGTTAACCACTTCAATTTTGCCCTAGACTCCATCTAGTCTTTAATATAAATAGTATTTACATCTTTACAAGTGTAAAAAATATACTCCTTTTATTTAAAAATGTAAGGCATTTTTAGTCTTTTGAGATATAATCATTACTTTTCTTAAAAGTGCATCTATTGATGAATGACTTTATATTTATTGTATCGTATTTATTAGAGATAAATATAAAAAAATAGGGTTAGTTTGAAAGTAAGTAACTATATTGGGGTGAGATTCAATTAAAAATGCTTTACATTTTTTAACGGAGGGAGTATAACTTTTTTATTTTATTTTATTTTATTTTCATTAATAATTATAATAAATTTTTGTCTAGAAATTTAAATAAGAAAAAATTAACAAGAGGTAAAACATTAATAATCAAAATTTTAAAATTTGTCTTATATTAAATATCAAGGATAAAAAGTCAAAAAAATATCACATGAGAGAAGAGAGTAGATATTTCCTGTTTTTTTTTTAAAAATCTGAAGACAGCCGACAATGATTAGTTTAGTTAATAAAATTTGATACGTAATCTATTGTAAGATCAAATTTTATTATTGATATAAAAAATATTGTTTTATGAGTCCAGAGATGTTAAGTTTCCTTAATAATATAAGGAAAGGGGAAAAGAGGCTTGTGAGTAGCAAGGCATCATGTTACATACAGCTGGTTGTTGCCCGTCCTTTTTTTTTTTTTTTAACAAACTGGCTGTTGTGCTTTATCTTTGTCAAAAGTGAATGCAAATGGACTCTTGAAGGGACCGAGGAACCTTGTCAAACGTGAATTTCCGGAGTAATTCAATTAGTGCGGACATGAAGGGATTGAAAGGGGTTCCAGTACCGTAGAATATGCATGGATTGGGAAAACGTCAAGTTTCGATGACTCATCGTGGGGCTACATGTTACCGTCTTAGAACTCTTCAATTATGGAACCGTGTTTAAAGTGATCAATCACTTAATTTTTATTAAATCAGCTGAATCCTTAAAATGTAAGAAAAAAAATTAAGAAACTTAAACATAAAAGAGAGTTTGGATGAAAAAACTTAAAAGTTTAAAACTTTAATTATTTTTTTTTGTTGTTTTCAAATGAGGAATTGTAAGAGTATTTATAGGCCTCTCTCTTTCTCTAAAAAATTCTCACCTCTTTAATAGACGGTAGAGATTAATCTAATCCTGCGATTTATATTCATTCTCTAGAGTGTTCCATAAAAATATCTACAACAAATATCTAAATATTTATAAAGATATTTCTAGAAACTAACCTTCAAGCTATGTGTGAAATATTTTAAAACATCTTAGATTATTCTAGAATATTCTAGATATATTCACCTTCCTTCATAAATTTATAGAACTTTTTAAAAAATTTTAGATCTTTTTAGATTTTTCTAGATAATTTTAAATTATTCTAAATACTTTTAAAATATTTTAGAATATAACTCTTCCTGAATATCTTAGATTCTCTTAAAAATCTCTCCATGATCCTGGACATCTCCAAAAATATCATAATCTTATAATTTTTTTTTTTGGACAGAGATTGTGACATACAGCTGGGGAAAGTCAAATAATGGATGCAAGAAATCAAGATTTTAAAGATATGGTGGGCCTGACGCAATAATTTGGGAAAGGGAGGTCAAAAAGCTAAATATGAGTAGGCCCCTGATGGCACTAAAGTAAAAACATTAGCAAGTTCAAGCCCCATTGCAGAGAAAATATACCCCTACAGGGAAGGATAATAAGAAATTGGGCCGAGTTAGCAACTAAAAATGTTATAATTTTATTAAAATTTTTAAATTTTTTTATTATTAATAAACTATATAAATGAACAAATTATCTTCATTAAAAATAAAATGATAACAAGTTTTATTTAAATAATAATAATAATTTTTCTTATATTCACAATAATGTAATAACAAATCATAATTTTGCATGTTAAATTTCTAATTTATTGTTACATTATTATGAATGTGAGAAGAAAAGTTGTGATTATTTAAACAAAATTTATTATCATTTTATTTTCAACAATGACAATTTAATTATTTATATAAATTCATTAATGATAGAAAAATCTCTAAAGACTTTAGTAAAATTATGACATTTTAAAAGATTAAATTATCATTTATATATTTCAGAGAAATTTTATTGTCATTTTTTTAATGAAAGCTTCATCTTTACAATCTATTTTCACACTTTATTTGTTGTACTGTGGGTAATTAATATGCTTAGCTTCCTCAAGATATCCACAGCTTAGCTTGAAATGGTGTTCTTGGATTATTTGCAATCTGAAAGGAAGAGTGTCGGGGGAAAGTATTTTGATGTGATAATGCAAAGTATGGAGTTATAGTAATGTTAGATTCATAAGTACGCAAATATTAAATGATTAATCTCGGGGTCTAATTATAAATGAATCAAAATGCTTCAGAGACATGAATTGGTGGTGTGGAAATAGAAAAGAATCAAGAAAAACAAGAAAAGTTTTACGTTTAATTATTTTTAAATTTTTTCCATTTTTTGTTAATATTAATTATTTTATTACTATTTTTCATGAAATATATGGATCTTAGGATTATCACGAAATTTTTTAAATTTTTTTGAAATTTTAAATTAATTTTTAATGTGTTAAAATAATTTATAAATGTTAATATATATATATATATATATATATAATTTAAAAATGATTTCTATTTATTACATTATTTTGATTACTATTTTTCATATAACATATGGATCTTATGATCATCTCCAATTTTTTTATGTTTTAAATTTTTTTTAATTTCACTTGAAATTTTAAACTAATTTTTGCTAAAGTGTATCTTTAGTTATTTAATTTTACACAAATTTTTATTTTGATCTCCTAATTTTATAAAATATTTTTTAATTATTTAACTCTAACACCATTATTTTTATCACAAAAAAATTTTATATTAGAATTTCAAATAGTAATAAAATTTTTAAATATTAATATATTAATTTTAATTTTTAAAAAATAATAATGGTTGGCACAAAAAATAATCATTTTAAAACAATGGTGTTAGGGCAAAGGACAGAAAAATACTTAATAAAATTAAGAGAACAAATTAAAATCTCATATAAAATCAAAGGAATAAAAATATACTTTAACCATTAATTTTTAATATGTTAATATATATAATTTAAAAATGAGTTATACAATTATTTTGATATTTTTTTAATAATTATTTTATTTTATTTTTGAAGTTGGGCTAGGCCCAGTCGAAACTGGCTTATGTATATTGGGATGATTACTGTGACCTTACTTGTTATGCATATCGGTTTACGAGAGTGGCCTTAAATGTAGATAAATTTTCAATAAAGATCCCTTAACTGTATTAATAGAAAATAGAACCTTAAAAATTCTAAAAATTTACTGCAATCCAAGGGTACTTAATTGAAATTAAAATGATGAGGGGAATTTACCAGGATATCCTTACTGAAAGGTAGTTTATTAATAGAAATTGTTTATTTCCTTACGTACTACTGTTTATTATCCTATATTAAAGTGTTCATTTTGTTATTATCTGTTGTTTATGCATTATTTTCAATTGGTTTAATTCCAAATGTTATCATCATGTTAATATGAGTTGTTTGTTTTTTCATTGTCTATTATTTATCCCTTACTTTTAGATTTACATTTTTAGGGTTGTCATCATGCTAATACGATTTGTTCATTTCTCTACTCTCTGTTGTCCATTATCTCATATTATGTTTATTCATTGTTTTGTTCATTTCTCTACTCTCTATTGTCCATTATCTTATATTATGTTATTCATTGTTTTACTGTTTGTTTTTAGTTGAGAGTGTGACTGAGAGGGGATGAGGGACAATCAAGTAATTTTACTCAACATTTTAATCTTATTGTAGTACCGTTGAATTGCAGTGAATTTGTAAAGTTTTTGGGGTTTTCTTTTTCACTCACTATGGTCAAGAAATATTTTTTTAAAAAATTTAAATTTATGTGACCAAATTTTTTAATAATATTATAATATAAACTCAATATACTCTAATAAGACTGCTCAACCAAAAAAATAATACGAAGTCTTTGAAAATTTTATTCATTGAATTGGAAAAAGCATTGACATGTTAATTTCATCCATCATTTTTTAATCACGATAACCTTTTAATTCTTTTAAGCAAAAAGTAAAATAAAAAAAAAGGTAAAACTCTTTCATTGTGAAAGGTAAAAGGAAAAAAAAAACTTTTTATAAAAAAAAAAAATCATATATCCTGCATCACCAAAACTATTGCACCGAAAATGAATCAACGATTATTATATTCACATAAAAATAGAGTAGTCAAAGTCAGAATGTACTTGTTAAGACTATTTGTTCAAAATCACATATATTAAACTTCTTCTTGTGTCTCTGGGCGTGCGAAGTAGAAAGCGATTGAAGATATTAAAGGAGTACATGAAATGGTAATCTTAATTTACGTGAAAACGAAGGATACAAAAATTGGACGACAATTATCACAAATACTAATCGAATTCATATCCACCTCCGTAATAGTAAGAGTCATGTTTGTCATCATCTGTGGCTTCGCTTTATTGTCGTTACCGCCTTCTTCGACTGTGCAAATACGAGAAAAATTGCAAATCCCAAAATCAATTTACAATAAGCATTTACCATATGTAAAAAAAAAAAAACATTTCATAACTATAATAGGGTCAAAACTTAATTATATATCAACTACATCTTTTCAAAAAGAAATTGGAAGAATGACGGAGCACATAAATAAAGTCAAAAGTAAAAATGAACAAAAAATTTGAAGTTGCGTAGAATAGCTAGAAAGATATCGCACCTGTCACCAGAGAAGAAAAAAAGCTCTCATGCTATCAAATATGCATACCTGCGTATGGAGGTTCGAAGAGCAGCGAGTGTGGTTTCGGAGAACATGGGGCAACCCTCAACTACAAGTTTGAATAGCTCTGGAAGTGGGCTGTCGTAGAACCATTCCTCTTGGATTTCAACTTCACGACTAAAAACTCCCTCCAGCTCAGAGCACTGTGTTATGTCTAGACATCCCAACAGTGGAAGATGTTGAGTAGAGGGCAGAGAGGGGAAGAGCCATTTCAACTTTCTGCATTTACTGACCCAAAGCTGTTGAAGTTGTGGGAAGCAACAGACGGAAGAAGAGGATGCATTTGGAAAGTGAGGCTCTGATGACATTATTTCCTCCAGCTCTTCACAGTCTGACATGTTTAGATACCGCAAACATGGAAGGCTTCTGATGACAGTGTTGGAAAAGATACACTTCAATTTCTTGCATCCTTTCACCTCTAACGAACTAAGATTTTGGAAGCTGATGAAAGTGGGACCCTCCCATACACACACGAGGCTCCCTGAAGCAATCAAACGCAAGGATTTTACGCTTGAGGTCAAGATCATCCCTTTTTCTTCATCTACAGGCAATTGTCTTCTAACATCTGCTATAGGTTGGAATTTTGAATTTTCAGTAGAAACCTGCGAGAACTGCAACTTCAATTAACAAAAAGAATAATTTATTCACATCAATTAAGTTTCATTCTAAAAGTTTTTATTTCTACCTAGATTTAAAAAGATGATTCAGTCTATTGAAAATAGAAGTTCAAGAATACCGACCTAATTTTATACACATTCAAATGTGTTTATATCAATGTGTGATTATTGCAGGCAAAACAGATATCAATTTCTAATTAGTTTAGTTTACTATAAAATAATTTCTCATAAAAATATTTCTAATCACGCATCTATTATATTTTGATTTTTTCCTAGTGTCCCTACATCTCATTGCAACTTGAAAGTTTTCTATATTGAAAATCACTTATTTTTTGAAAAAAAAAAATATTCTGTAAGTTTCTATCATATTTGTTTAAACATTTGAAAATTATCAGAATAAAAAGAAATAGACTTTTGATTTTTTTTTCAAGAAGCTAGTTTGAGTAGTTTCTAAAATAATCTCGTTCAACACATGAAAGAACATGTTTTTAAAATGCAGGAAGCTAGTAGATATTATAAAATTTAAAAATAGCTGAATAATAAACCATTTTAATAAAAAACTAAATCAAGAAAAATATTATAAAATTGAAAAATAAACGAACTAATAATTATTATTTTTATTATAATCAAGCATAAAATATTAGCTAGCCAAATGGTATATATTATTCCATCTCATTTTGAAAACTCTAATCAACATGATATAGAATATTCTTTCTTACCAAAATTGTTCCCAATTGTTGAAGAGCCAATTCCAAACTTGAATCAAGAAATTTGGGGCAGTTGTCTATGCAGATGTTACTCAGTTGCACTTGAATCTGCATCCCTTGACAAACACTGATGAAACTTGGCAAATTTTTAAGCTCTATCTTCTTTAGGCTTGAAAGCATGATGTTCTCGCTGTAGTTGGCTTCATCTTCACTACTATGTCCAAAAATCACCTCCAATTCCTCACAATCAGATAAGGAAAGGGAACTTAATTTGGGAAGGCTGTTATGGACAATGGTGCTTACTGAGAATAAAAACTTCAACTTCTTGCATCGAGTCATTTTTAAGGAATGGATATATTGGAAGATTAAAACTTGTGTGGGAACAAGACCTCCTGGCATTTGCTCTTCCGATCTCAACATTTTTGAGTCGTCGGTTTCTTTTTGGTCATCATCTTCTTCGTAGTCATCTCCCATGACTTGAAACTCATGGTGAACTCTGGGACTTTGAATATCAGGTTGTCCAACATTTAAAATTGGGAGTAAAAGATTAAGAGCTTCATTATTATTTAATTGGCTCCGTTTCAACTCATATATCCCATCAAGTCTCTGTATATATCAAAGATCAAAGGAGCAGGGAAAGTATTATTAGTTCCTTGAAAAGATGAGGAAAAGAAAAAGGAATCAAATTAACCAATATCTTCATTTTATCTTTAATGTGGTTGCTTAACTTGTATGTGTAGGAATATAATATGCTTTCGTAACTATTTTGATTAAATTTATGAAACTAGAATCATGTTAAAACAAAGAAATATATAATGCATTGCATAGATGAAAGTTTTCCGCTCTCCAACTCCTGCCGTTAGAACTTAGAACAATCATTGATGATGATGATTGTCACATATAAAATATTGTATTGTAAGAACAATTTACCTCTTATATTGGTAGCACTAAAATAGTCTCTAGTTGATAAACTAAACCTTAGTTTTTCTGACATGTTCCATGTATATAAAATAGGATGAAAAATATATGCAGAACGGAAGGAAAAATTATGTGAAAATAGAAACATCTAAAAAACTACCAAGGAACATATATGTATGCATGCATGTAGAATTGTAGATATCTAGTCAATATTTAAGTGAAATTAGCTTAAAACTTTTTGAGCTATTTAAGCATTAAACCAGATGAAATTAGCTTAAATTAACAAAACATTATTCCAAAAAAAAAAACCGAAAACATTAAATATTCACAAAGCGTCAATTAAATTAATATACTGCAAAATAAAACAGAGACAAGATTTGCGGTATGGAAAAGGAAGCATATAGAGAATCACAAGTGTAAAGTATTACATACCTCTTCAGTCCACCAAATAGTTGCACTCGTAATTGGCATAAATTTTGGGCATTCATGAACCTTAACTTCGCAAAGTTCCCCTTCCCGTGTCTGCAAAGTAAACCCTTGGCAAACATTAACAAGTCTTGGAAGACTCCAAAGTTAACAAATAATATAAGGCAAGACGCAAAGAACAATTATTTCCATTAATTTTTAGATTGATTGATTTAGATTTAAATTTTGATTTGAATTTAAAATCTTAAATTTAAAATTCATTTATTTAAATTTTTTTGTTTGGATAGAATAAAAAATTTCAAATTCAAAGACAAAAAAAAAAAGGAAGATGTGAAATGAAAAGATGAGGAAAATAAGAGATAAGAGTGGCTAACATTTCAAATAACATCAAGTTTGTAAAAAGAAAAAATGTTAAGGATTTTAATAGTGAGGATATCACAGTAAATTGACTGTCATTTAATCCCTTATTTTATTTATAATTTAAACAGTTTTTCACAGTAAATTTAATTTTGACTCCTATATGTTATTTTGTGTAGTTTTTCATATAATAATCCCATATCAGTCAGAATTTTGAACAACTTTTGCATTGTCAGTAAGCTTTTCTAAGAATTAATTGATACAATGCATGCGTTATTGGCTTAATTATTAGAAAGGATATTGACAGCATAAGAAATGATGAAAATAATTTATGAAGCTACTCAAATATAATCTGATGCATTAGATGAGAGAGAATATTTTAAAAATACATGACGCACAAGTATATCATAAAATTTTAAAATAATTGAATAATAAATTATTTTAATAAAACAAAAATCAAGGAAGATTTCATAAAATTTAAAATTAAACAAACTAATAATCACTTTTTCATTATTTTAACTGAATATAAAATCATCTTTAATTACTTTAATATAAAAACCTCTACAAAATAAATCTCTTTTTATAAAATCTCTAAACTATTTAAAAGTTACTTATTTTTTAATCTTAAACAAAAAGATCATTAATTTATGCACTTCCAGCTAGCATAATGGTACATATGATTCCAATCCACATATTATTCCATGTCATTTTGAAGACTCTAATCAGCATGATATAGAATATTCTTTCTTACCGAAATTGTTCCCAATTGTTGAAGATTTTGCATCCCTTGATAAACATTGATGAAATTTGGCAAATTTTCAAGCTCCATCCTGATCAAGCTTGAAAGCACAATTTTCCCACTGTAGTTGGCTGCATCTTCACTGCTATCTCCAAAAATCACCTCTAATTGATCAGCCCCATTTATACACAAAGTGTATAGTTGTGGAAAACTAGTGGACATGGATATAGGGAAGAGTCTTATGAGCTTGTCGCACCTCTTAACCTCCAACCATCTTAGTTCTGGGAAGTGAACTCGATCATTAGACATGACCTGATATTCCTCATTGTCTTGAATTATTTCCTCCAATTCGTCAGAGTCACATAAAGTCAGGAAACTCAAATTGGAAAGGCTGTTATGAACAATGGTTCTTATTGAGAATAAAAATTTCAACTTTTTGCATCGAACCATTTTTAAGGAATGAAGATATTGAAAGCTCAAAACTTGTGTGGGAACAAAACCTTCAAGCATTCGTTGTTCCGATCTCAACATTTCTGAGTCCTTGGTTTCTTCTTGGTCATCATCACCCCTGACTTCAACCTCATCGTCAACTTTAGGACTTTGAATATCAAGTTCTCCAACAATTAAAACAGGGAGTGAAAGATTGAGAGCTTCATTATTATTTAATTGGCTCCATTTCAACACATACTGCCTTTCAAGTCCCTAAATATATCAAAGATCAAAGGAGCGGGGAAAGTATTATTAGTTCCTTGATCGAAAAGATAAGGAAAAGAAAACGAGATCAAATTAACCAATATCTTCATTTTATCTTTAATTTGGCAACCTAAATTTGTACACGTAAGAATATAAGATGTTTCCGCAATTGTTTTGTGTATATTTACTAAACTAGAAATATGGAATGCATTGCATGGATGAAAGTTTTCTGCTCTCCAGCTTCTGTTGTTAGAACTTAGAACAATAATTGATAATGATTATTGTCACGTAAATTATTATATTATAAGAACAATTAACATCTTCTATTAGCAGCACTAAAATAGTCTCTAATCGATAAACTAAACCTTAATTTGTCTTACGCGTTCTATGTACATATAATAGGATGAAAATATATGTAAAAAGGAAAGAAAAATTATGCAAAAATAGAAACACATAAAGAAATACAAAGGAATATTGTATTAACATGTGCGTGTGCAGATATCTAGCGCATATGCATGTGAAAGTAATGAATTCATTGGACCAGATGAAATTAGCTTAAATTAACAAAACATTATTCCAAAAAAAAAAACCAAAACTTTTTTATAAGAAAACCGAAAACATTAAATATTCACATAGCATCAATTAAATTAATATACTGCAAAATAAAACAGAGACAAGATTTGCGATGTGGAAAAGGAAGCATATAGAGAATCACAAGTGTAAAGTATTACATACCTCTATAGTCCACCTAATAGTTGCACTCGTGATTGGCATAAATTTTGGGCATTCACGGATGTAGACGTTGCAAAATTCCCCTCTCTGCAACTTAAACCGTTGGCGAACATTAACAAGTCTTGGAAGCTTTACAAGTGTTACTTGTTTCAAGTTTGGGAACATAATCTCCATTTCATTGTCAATGTCATGATCTTCAATATTAGAGCATCTGAAAATTTCTTCCAGCTGAGAAGAATTTAATATGGTCAAAGTGCTTAGTTGTGGAAGCATCGAGGTAGCAACCTTGATCATGAAAGATAAAACAAATTTCAGCTTGTTGCAGCTTTCGATTTCCAAAATCCTCAATTTCGGCAGACAAGCTTCAGTTATGAATACATTCTTCTCATTTTCTTCATTTCCTAGAAAAATTGCCTCCAATTCCTCACAGTCAGATATAGTTACCTTCCATAACATCAGAAGACTTTGACAAATATGAGCAGAGAACACAAATTTCAATCTTGCACATCTTTTCAAAGTTAAAGATTCAAGGTATTGAAATGTTGGAATATGTTCTTCAATCCCAGTCTGACAGAAGAAATTGCATTCTACCGTACAGTTATGAAGATAAATCTCTTCAATAACTGCCAATGGCTTGTATTCTTCATTCCTCAAATGAAGGCCCTTAAATTCCTGCAATTCCTTGGTGAAAGAGGGGAAGAAAGGGAAGAATAGAAAACAAAAACCATTAACACATTTCTCAAAAAACAATAAATCGGGATTTATTAAAAATTTATGCGTGCACTTGGAGTATTGCACTTGGAGTATTCTAGCATAGACTTAGTATTAATTTTTAGGTAATTTAAACACAAAGAAAAGTCGTATATCAATAAATTTCACAATAAAGTTGAGGAAAAAAGTATGATGATGGGCTCACAAGAGTGAATATTTTTGTGGGCCATAAAAATGATAAATAAATTGAATGACTAGATATTAAATAACAACATATAATTGCTTGATTATCCGTACGTTAAAATATTTTGCAATGACAGCGGTGGTGGAGTACAAGGACAAATTGGAGCACCAAATTAAGAGTGATAACAAATAATGTAAGGCAACACACAAAGAACAATTACTTCTATTAGTATTTACATTGATGGACTTAGATTTAGATTTTCATATGCATTTAAAATTTCTTCTTCTGTGTTTTTAAAAACCTTCAAAAAAAATATTACTTCTATTAGTATTTAAATTCCCTCATTTGGCTAGTATAAAAAATTTTAAATTCAAAAATGATAAAAAAAGAAAGAAAAATGTGAAACGAAAAGATGAGGAGAATAAGAGGTTAGAGTGGCTAACATTTCAAATAACATTAAGGATTTTTTGTAAGGAAAAAAATGTTACTCTCTCCATTCAAAAATGTAATGCATTTTTTAAGAAATTAAATGTTCAAAAATGTAAGACATTTTTTATTTTTTGAGGTATAATCATTGCTTTTTTTTAAGTGTCTCTATTGATAATGACTTTATATTTATTATAGGACATTTCATAGGAATAAATATGAAAAGATAAAGTTGGTTGAAAAGTAAGTAACTACTTTATTGAGGGTGAGATTTGGTTAAAAATGCCTTACATTTTTTAACAGAGAAAGTAGGCATTTTAGAAATGAGGATATTGAAGTAAATTGATTGTCATTTATTAGTCCCTTATTTTATTTATAATAAATAGTTTTTTATAGTAAATTTGACTCCCATATGTCATTTTGTGTAGTTTTTTTTTTTAAATTAATAGATACAATACAAGTGTTGGTAGCGTAGTCATTGCAAAGGATATCGACGGTTTAAGAAATGACGAAATGGAGCACAATGTACATTCTTTATTGATATTGGAAATTTTAATTTCACCTGCATAATATGCGGAGCACTTCTAAACCAAAAGCAAAATGAGTTTAAATTAAAATAAAATGATAGATGACGTTTGATATTTTCTTGACATCGAAATAGTAGGCATTTTATGAATGCAAATTTACGTGTCATTTTCCTATTTCATTTCTTATTTTAAATAACAAAAGGTGAAAGTAAGTACAAATTAATAGACTAGATCATCACTTAATATGCGTTGACATGAACACCGCTACTTGCTATATCACGCATGCTAAAAAAACCCATAATTACGCAAACAAGGATATTTAAAACAACTTCAGTTCTTTTAAACACAACATAAAAATAAAATTAAAGCATCAAAGAGTAAATGCATACCATATTTGGACAATCCCAGCAGACTACTTCCTTTAGAGATGGGCACCTTAGATGATACCTTTTTGAGCAAATCCTGACAAGATTTGGAAGATTTTTTAGGTTGAGATGTTCCAAGTGAGGGAGCTCTATCGGAGTCTCAATTTGATCATGCAATGCTTGTTCTTCCTCTCCCTCTAATACATTCTTCAATTCACTACACTCCTTTATCTCGAGCTTCTTCAAGGACAACAGAGTGCGAGCAACAGAGACAAGGAATATGTGGAGCAACTGAGGGCAATTGGATATACTTAGACTTTCAAGCTTTTGGAACAAGCTAAGAGGAGAAGGACCACGGCATAGTTGTTTTAGATTAGCCATATCCGTCAATTTTAACTCATCCAATTTTGGGACAACCACATCATTACAAAGAGTAGTTTCATCAATAATGCAATCTATCTCTGAACAGCATTGAAGATGGAGTTTAGTTAATTCATTCATGCCTCCCACAGCTTGAACTATATTAGGAATGAAAGTTTTGCAGCCTCCTTGAAGCTTGTAAAATTTAACTGAAGTTGCCCTTTGTGCAAGATCCTTGATTATTTCACCTAAGATAGAGACATTTAGCTTACCCAAGCATAAAGATTGTGTGCCTTCATTCCAAAATTCATTGCCATAGCCATGATCCCCCATTTCTAACTTGTACCTTTTCAATTTCGCCAAAGTATAGTCATAGCAACTTTTGCCTTTTGGATGCGGAGAATGTGGATAAACATACAACTCTTCTAGCTGCAAACAACTCCCTAATACTTCATAACAACACTCATCCATTGTACATGTTGATAAATCCAGCAACTTCAACTTCTTCAATTATTCAATTCCATTTGGAAGTTTTTCAAATTTACTACCTTGCAAGTCAAGAATTTCAAGTCTTGTAAGGCTTACCACAAAAGAGATGTCACCTAAATACCAACCTCGCAACCTCAAAGTCCGAAGATTAGACAGTTGTTGGATTGATTGAGGCTTTACCATCAATGAGGGAAGACGACTAAAATGACTATATCCTTTGCTAATAATAGCCACAACCTTGAGTCCTTTTGCACCTTCAAATGATGCATGTGATAAATCCAAGGATGAGGTTGAATGTAACAATAGAATATCAAGTTTTGGAGCATTCAATTGAGAAGGAAATTCAAGTGATTTCCATTGATGATACCATGAGCTTACTGCATAGCAATCTTTTACCACATCATCATCAAGAAATCCATTCAGTTCTTTTGCATAGTTTACTTTAATAGTACCCTTCATATTAGATGATATCCATAATGCTACATCACGAACCATGTCATGCATTTTCACACATTTTTCACCCTTGAGATTGAGAGAATACATCAACAATGAAGAGTCAATGAGAACACCTATAGCTGTTGTAACTTGGCTCCTTACTATTGCAAACGATTCAGCATCTTCACATAGGCCTAACCCTATTCCATATCTAAAAAGGTCTTCAATGACAATTTTATGATCTTCAGGAAACATTGCACACATCAAGAATAATGACTTGGCTTCTTTGGATTTCAAATAACTGTAACTTAGTTCGAGACAAGCAAAAGCATCTCTCACACTTTTATCCTCATGGTCTATTGGTTTTGAATGCTTCAACTTGTGCAGTACCACCTCCATCTCATCAAGTCCTTTTGCTTTCAGGCAAGTTCCAACAGCTACAATTGCAATGGGAAGTCCTTTACATTCCTTAGCAACTTCCCGTGCCACGACTTCTTTAGCACCACCATCAACATTAGCATGAGTTTGAAAAAGTTCCCAAGCTTCATCTTCTTCTAACATGCCTAACTGAATTACATTATTTCCACAATTCATCAATGTACATACATCTTGCCGGCGTGTGGTTAGGACAATTTTGCAATTTCTTTGATCATTTCCCCCAAAGGGAATCCCTATGTCCTCAAGATTCAGCTTAGCCCATACATCATCCAATATTATCAAGATCCGTTCTCCCCTCTGTAATCTTAGTGCTAATCTTTTTGCCCTTCCAATATCAGATTCTTCCTCCAATTTAAGTCCCAACATATCAGCAATTTCACCTTGAACTTTTCTGATTTCCAGGTTTTGAGAAATTGTAGTCTTCACAACTCGATCAAATAGCTTTGATTCTTTGGCTTCCTTCCCTACTTCTGTCACCAAGGTAGTTTTCCCTGAACCGCCCATGCCCCATAGCCCAATTATGGAATTGCCATCATCTTTTAATGCCTTCAGCAGATCATCGAAAGCCCTTTGCGTAGAGTTGAAGAACGTAAAATTGGGAGAAGAGTGATACTCTATACCTGGGATAATAGTAGGATGAGAAAATGGATTAAAATTATCACTTTCCATATTTAGCTCTACCATCCTTTGGGTTATCTTGGCCAACTCTTTGCAAAGACAATATCTCCTCCAAGTAGGACACCACCTTCTAAAGCAGCAGCCATTGTTGGCCTTTAGTTTTTCCTCCAACTTATCCAGCTCTGCTATGAGGTTCTTCACGTCACTCTTCCACTTGTTAACCTCACCATCAATCCTCTCAGTCTTGTTGATGGCCTCTTGAACACGTTCTTGCACCTTCCCTTGTGTGAGTATGAGCTCCCACTTTCTGACCTCAACATTTCTTGTGATTTTGCCGACACAGAACAAATATTGCAGCTGCTGTAAAGTTGGATCCACCAAATACTCAGCGAGTTTTGCTGCCACAGATACTGCCACCTCTGCCATTTTGAATTGATAGCAACCTGAAGGAGAGTCATTCATCATCGTCGAATGATTATTTCAAAATTTCATTTTGAAGAACTAAGGCAACTTTCAAAATTATAAAAAAGTTTATACTCAAATAAAAGAAGAAAAATCAATTATTCTTGCACAACTTTCTTGCTCTGGTATCTTGATTAGTTTTTGACCCAGCTATGTTAAGAGATTAGAGTAACTTCATTTAATGTTTTCTTTCTAACAGATCGACCAAAAGGTGAAGTAAAGAAGAAAAAATGTAGTCTACAAATGATAGCAGTAATTATTTGAAACTAACAAGCTACTAAATACTTTTGAGTTTTGAGAATTGAGGGCAATCACATATATGTATGGAAAAACAAAAAGAAACATGGTGGGGAAAAGACAGAAAAATAAAAATCTGAAAGAATAAAGTGATTCGGGAGAGATCTTGCTTCATTCATATACCTAAGATGAACTTCCACTTGCAAATTTTCAGAGAATGAGATGAACAGAATAGCTCTGCGATGACCAAATTTTCGCGTGAGATGAGTTGTCAGCTTAGTTGGAACATGAAAGTTAGGGGGTCAGTACCTGGCTAAGATGCTGCAGGCTTTGATCAGCAGGTTGGTGGGGTACATTTTCTATTTCCAAAAATTCAAAAGTGAAAAGGCAATCTCATAATACATTTTTTTCTTTCAAAGTTGTTACATGTATTTGTATTTGAAATTGAAATTTTAAATTTTCATAACCTTCTTTAAAATTTTACGGGTACTTATATGAATTTAATTTTAAAAAATTATCGTTAGCTTTCAAATGTTAAGAAATTATTTTAACAGACAAGAACTAAGAAAAATTTATTATTTTTTTATAATTTTTGAAGTATATTTATATCTATTCAACTAACAATTAAAATTAATTTTTTAATATTATTAGTTAAATTTATCATTTTAAAAAATTAAAAAAATATAACATAAAAAATAAATTTAAAATCTTAAATACTCTTAAATTTATAATTTAAAAGTTAATTTATTTTTTCACTCACAAAAATTACCGTAATTTAAAACAAGAAAAAAAAAAGTTATCTTCCCTAGGAGCAATAACATTAGAATGGAAGGATGTTTTTATTTAAAAAAAAAGAAGAAGAAAAATGCTCTTTCATTTAAGAACATAATACATTTTTAATTGAATCTCATTCTCAATAAAATAATTACTTACTTTTAAATTAACATTATCTTTTTATATTTATCACTATCAAACATCCCATGATAAATATAAAGTCATTATTAATAAAGACATTTATAAAAAAAGCAATGATTACATTTAAAAAAATTAAAAATATTTTATATTTTTAAATATATAATTTTTTAAAAAAATATTTTATATTTTTAAAGGAATGATATTGAAGGCATGATTTCAAAAGATAACCTGCATTAAAAAAATAACTTTGATGTCATCTCGTTTTATAGCATATCAAGTACCAAAACTACCCTTGCAAAGGGATGGGTTTGCTTGCTTGTCATTAAAATAAAATCTAAACCATTTAAATTTTAATTTAAACAATCTAAATTAAAGTATTTTTTATTATATTTATTAAAATAAAAAATTACAAAATAATTTTAATAAATTTTTTATTTTAAATTTAATTTAAATTTAATTAAAAAGGTTTAATTTTTTATAAGATTTTTATACCTTTACTTTGAAAAATAGCTATTTGCATAATATTATGTGTAATTAATGATGGATGTTGAATATTTTGTTTTTAAAAGTTATAAATTTATTTCATATCACTTCATAATATAATTTATTTAATATTTTTTAAAAAATAATTAATTACGAAATTTGTACTTTATCTGTTTTTCGAAAAAGCAGAAGTCAGGACTCAGGACCGGAAGGATGGAACGCAGATGCTTTCGGGGACAGGACACGGTGCTACAGGCTCACAGCTAGCTCTTGTCCTTTCCGACGTCCATTCTTGAATTCAAGAGTTAATGCAAAAGGACCCTTGAAAACGACCCTTCTTTACTCTTTTTTTTTTTCGCCCTTTTAAAAAAGGATCCAATTCATTAAAATAAAATATATAATAATCTTTTGACCTTTTCCAAAATACCTATTTATATTTACATATACACACACAAATATAAGAATAATGCAAATGAGTTTAAATAGGGGTTTTGAGCTCGAAAGGATATCAGCTATCACCCAACAAAAATATAAAATAAAATAAAAAAGTGCTGAAAGATAATTAAAATAGCAGAATTTTTACTATTCGCTTAAAAATTAAAAAAATTTAGAAATTATAAAAAATAACTCATAAAATTACACACAAATATCTTATAAAAATTAGCATCAATTAAGTCTCATAAATTACAAATAAATTATAAAATACAAATGTTATTTTTAACTCATGTAAAAGTTTAAAATATAATTTTGATCAACCATTATTTTAGGGACTTAATTAATACTTATTTTTTCATAAAATTTTTATTTACAAATTTATGGGTCTTTTTTATGATTTTTATATTTTTTTTTAAATTTTATAATTAATTAATGATTTAAGTTAACTTTTTTAGAGAAGGAAAAAATTGCACTACTTCAAATTTAAAATACTAAACATTTTTTTTCTTGGCAAGAATGACTTACAATAGAATATGTCTTTATTATCTCGCAAAATTGGCACAATGGCTACTCCAATGCTAAAAATATTCACCGTTTTCAATATCTCATCACGGCTTCTCTTGCATTGCGAGGCGGGAGTAGTTTTGTTGCAAAATTGATAGTATTTTTGGAATAATTAGTAATCAAAAATAATTTTATCTTTATTTTAAACAATGAAGGAGACCTTGATTGTGTATTATACACTAATTATAACTTTATAAAAGGTAAAATTAAAAAATTATTGAAATTTTATATAATTTTAATTAAATAACAAACTTTTATTGATATGTAAAATCTGATTAAAAATATCTTATATTATATATAGGGAGGTAAAAAGTATTATTTTGCATTAATTGCATCATTGACACGTGTAAAGTTGATAATTTGGCTAAAGCAGGCTTATTTGAATAGAGCTCAATTCGAGCAAGCTTGTTTGAATTGAGGTTAAAACATCTTACTTTTTTAAAAAATTCATATAGCCAAGCCCCGGCCTTAACATTTTTTAGCTGAGTTCAAGCTACCTCGTCAATCTCAACCAAAATTACTAACTCTACATATATATAAACTCAAAAATTTTAGTAGCCAACCTTATTTAAATCGGACTCAATTCGAGTTGGGTTTATTATGAAATAACTTAAAAAGTTCATATAGTTAAGTCTGCTCTTAACTTTTTTCAAACGGATTCGGACTTTGCCCAAATTACCAGCTCTAGACACATACTCAAAGAAGCTGATAAGGAAGTCATGGCTAGTAACTTCTCCATCTAAAATTACAAGATACATGTGGATAATATCTCACACACTAATCAATATTATTAAATATACTTAATAATTTTATTTTTTTAAAATAAAAATATAAATAGATAAAAAGAAGACAATATTGAAAGGGGAGGGCAGAAATTAAATAAAAAAAGATAATATTAAAGTAAGTATATTTAATAAAACCATAATCATCTCAAAGCATTTATATTTTAAAATATAATTTTTTTAAAAAATATTTTATAATTTAGGATGGAAAAAGACATTTATGTTTGTGTTTTTTTATAAATTTTTGTTGTGCAATTAAAAGTATACCGCTTTCAATCTTAATAATAAAATAAGGGTAATCATCCCTGTGATTATTAAAAACTGGTGTTGCATCTTTAAACTTGTTAAAAATTTATGTATAACTTCCAATTTCACTCTTCTTTGCAAATTACAGTCAATGTCATAATTACTATTTAGAAATTAAAGGTGCTCACAAATAATTTGTTGTAATTATCAATAAAAACACTAGTTATCATAAACATAATTAGACCCTCAATAAATAAGCAAGTGGCAAAATTGGGAAAAAAAATGAACTACTTAAATTTTGCCCTGTGCTCCATCTAATCTTTAATATTAAGGTAGACGTAACTATCTTCAAGTTTATTAAAAAAATAGTATCTACATATTTAAAATTGTAAAAAGAACATATAACTTTTCAATTTTACCTTATTTTCAATTAATAATAAATTATTGCTTAACAATTCAAATAATAATAAATAAGCAAGAGGTAAAATATTAGTTTTCAAAATTTCAAAATTTATCTTATATTAAATATCAGAAAAATATCAAGTAAAATAAAATTTTTTTCTTATAATTAAGAGATGAGGAAAAAGAGTAGACATCTTATTTAAAAAAAAATTCATGGCAGCCAACAATGGTTAGTTTAGTTAGTAAGATTTAACACATAAATTATAAGATGGTAAGTTAAAATACTGTTATTAATATAAAAATCTTATTTTATAAGTTTAACAAGTTTTCTCAATATAAAGAGTAGTAGGTCATGATTTTAACAAGTTTTCTCAATCTAGTCCATCTAAATTTTACAAAGATAAAAAAAAATATCAAGACAGATCCAATCTCATTATTTATAATGAATGCAGATTATAAAATTATCTTAAATTCTGATATAACTTCGTGTATATTTGGGTATTTCACTTTTTATATTTCAAAAAGACGTTTGTGACTTTTAAAAGGTAAATGTTGTTTGTCTATCATTGTACTTTTAAATATACATTCTAAAAATTCATTCATATTAGCATTGAAAGTCTTTTTGCAAAAAGTCAAGGAGAGTTACTCTTGCCGTTTCAAATATAGAGTTAAAATTTTTAGCCACCTCTTTTTCATATTTTTCCTTGCTAATATTTTTTAAAATGTAAATACAAATATTATATATTTTTTAATAAATCAACATTAACATAACAAAAATCACATATTATAAAATTTATCTTTTTTAGTAATTACACATTTAAAAGTACTTTCTATCATATATTATTTAAATAATTTTTAATTTATCAAATGGACTTTTAAAAAAATATATTCAAACATAAATTTCATTATATTAATTAATTTTTAATAAATTAATTTTTATCAAATAAATTTTTAACAAATAAATTTTTATGAGACTAAAAATTACATGCACCCTTGCTCTTTGTATCCCTTACATGATTTTTGTCACGGTCTTATAAAAAAAAATGATTAAAAGTGAAGGCAAGAGGACGCTTGAAAACGACCCTTCTTCGCTTTTTCATTTTCACGTTTCACCACTCGCGCTTTCGTTTACCGGTCTCTCTCTGTTTTTTTTTTTTAACCAAACGTATGCTGGTCTTACTACAACTCCTGTCTCTCAAAAATAAAAGCAGTTTTTTAATTAATTTTAATACAAAATATATTCTCAATTCAAAATATATTCGGTTTAAAATATAAATAGATTTTAATAAAAATCTGCATATCCCTAAAGTTTTTATTTTCAAAAATATATAATACATTTGTTATTTTTAATCTCAGTTATCAATGCATTTTAGTGAGAGATAACTTTATGCAAGAATTTAGATTAATAAATATAAGAGATAAAATGAGAAAAAAATTTACA